GAGACCTGTCCCTTGAGCAGTACACCCCCCAAAAGAGAGAGGATGGGCATGAGCTCAGACCTATGTCTAGGCTAAACTGTTCAGCTTACCTCTGAATTTGAGGACAAGTCAGTGAAGGGATCTAGGAAACAGGTATATTTTCCCAGGACCACACAGTCAAACAAATTTTCCAGTGGAAACATGAGAACAAGAGTATATGCCATTGAAGGGAATGGCTCCCAAACCATTTTTATTCCCAAGAACAAAGTTCTATCCCACATTTCCAATAATGGCAGAATGACATCCCCTCTGGCCAGAGTCCAGAATCACTCTTCCTATTCTCATTGTGGCTTGAGATGAACTTGCATAACATTATACACATGCTCCTTTTTCACTTCAACAGAAAGCCACATTGTATTGAGTAACTAGCTTGCAGACAGCATCATGTGTGTCCTCAACAAATTTAGTTGATGTCGTGGAGTGAGAATTGGCAGACTACAGCCAAATCTGACCCTCTACCAGTTTTTGTAAATAGAGTTTTACCAGAATACAGCCATGCCCATTTGTTTAAATACACTATATTGTCTATGACTGCCTTCACACTACAATAGCGGATTGAATAGTTTCTACAGAGACCATCTGGCCTGCAAAGCCTGATACAGGGACGTATTATTGGGCACTTTACAAAAAAGTTTGTCAACCCCTAATGTAGATGAAGAAAAGCACTTTAATCATTATTTATGCCAGTGCTCTAAGAAACAGATATGTAGGCAGGGTTTCCAAACCTGCTACAAGAAAATGAAAGTAAGTTAGTACTTTACTGAAATCTCACTATTGGAACAAGTTGAGAAGAAGGCCAGTATCTATTAGAAAAAAATTAGATAATAGATTGCTTTTATATGCTCTTTTCTTGAATTCAAGTGAATCTCTTCAATTCTTCTCTTAAATTCAAGCTGTTTGGAACAGACCATTTCTAAGAGGTTCTGCCTTCTTGATTTGATTTTGGTCAACTCCAGAAAGCTTAATCGAGCTGCCTGCATTTGCAAGGCCTGCCCTGGGTGTTGTGAAAGTCAAAAGGGAAGTGTACAAACACCTGCAATGTGATACAGATGGTTCTGGGGAAGGAACAGTTCTGGGTGGAACCAGAGAAAGAAGCCAAAATAGCATCAGACAGTAATGAACACTGTCCACCTCTCAATAGAAGATTGAGGTACTTTTAAAAGTTCTCTTGTTAGACATATCCTCCCATGTTACTAAAAAGACTTAATGCCTTAAACCCTTCATAAAGAGGGAAATCATGCTATTTAAAATGATGAAATTTTATTTTACATACAAATATTTCTACAGCCATCCCCCAAAAAGTGTCTTGTGTTGATTGACCTTTTTTGTTTGTGTTGTTATTGTTGCTGTTGCTTTAAGGATTTTGTTGTTGTTAACTGAGTACAGATGTCTGGAAAATTATTGAGCTTTCCTACAGCTAGTCCAAATATAACTTCAGTATTCACTCAACCAAATAGCACATCAATTGGTCAAGACATCTCATTGTAGTTATTCCATTGTGCACCATTAAACAGACTCCTTAATTTATACTCTTAGAAGTCCATTTGTTAGGAAGGGAACAGTGGCTCCAGCCCCTTTGCATTTTCCCAGTAACAGTAATAGACTTTTTGTAGGTGAGTGAATGTCTTTGGCATAAAGAATTGCCTTTGGTTGGACTGGGTGATGGTAAATTCTCTCTATTTTTGTATATATTTGAAAATGTCCATAATAAAAGACTTTAAAAACAAACTGACTGTTGGACATAGGTGGTTCTGTTATGCACGAACAGCCACCCCATATCTCATTGGTCTCTGCAAACTGGAGCTTGTAATTTTAATTAGCAGTCATTATTATGGTGGCAGCAGTGCATGCAAAATGAATGCATTGAGAAGAGAGAAATAAATCTTGCCTCCTAATGCTTCAGAGTGGAGCTTGCCTTTGAGAAGTAGAGCCAAACATTCAGGATAAAATGAGAAAACATTTTGGACAGAAATTATATGCTAGTTGCCTTGCATATGTATCTCTTCAAAAGAAAGCTACTTATGAAATGAGCTCTTATCAGTGAACTGTTCCTCATTCATTAACTACATTTATTAAACTCCTATATGCAAAGCCCTGTGCTAGACACAAATATCACATTTATCTTTGGCAGACTCAACAGAGAAAGAATAAAACAGGTAACTCCAAGTCCTTGAAACTTAATATTACCCAGAGTCTTGGACCTGTACTCCGACGACTGGAAATCAGCTTAGCTCAACTCACTTCAGGCCTAAAACCATTAATAGAGCACCTAAGTGTGCGGTTCTGGATACTAAAAATATGGAGGAAAAAATAAGGTACAGTTCCCATCCCTGATCTAGTGGGGAAAACTCTTTAATGTCAACTCTTTAAGTCAACTCTTTGATAGTGGAATGCACAGGGTACTGTGAGATCACAGAGAAAGACTCCAGGGAAGACTTTATGAGTTAAATCTTGAAGGATGGTTAAGATTAGCAAGTGAGAAAAGATGGGAAGAAGCAGAGAGTTATAAAACATCAAGGACATGTGTCAGGAATTATTTGATGATAATACATTTGTATAGAATTATAAAATTATCACTAGAATTCATAGGAACTCCGTGGGGGGATTTTGTCTGTTTTGTTCACAATATGTCTGGCTCATAATAGGCACTCATTAAGTATTTGTTAAAGGAATAAATGACTGCAACTGTAAAGTGTTGCTAGAGGTCAGAGTTAATGGTAGAGAGCGACAGTAGAGGTAGACAGGACCAATTCAAGGAAGCCCTACTGTAGGAAGCTTGGATTTTATAGTGATGGAGAAGCATTGAAGAATTTTACAAAGAAGGATGGCATGACTGGATCTCAGAGATCTCAGGGATCTCAGGGGCACAGGACTGGAGACAGACAAATTATAAACTGTTGCTAAACTCTGGGTGAAAGTTGATGAGGTAAAACCCATGTATTTCAGTGACAAATTTAATGTCACCTAGAACACCAAAATGGCTAGCATTAAAAAGACTGGAAATAACAAGTGTTGTCAAGTATGTGGAGTGCTTATATGCCCCCAAAGATGTCCCTACAAAGATGTGGAAAAGAATGTTCCTAGCAGCACTGTTGGTCAAAGCCAGGATGGATAAGCTATGTTATGGTCACACAATGGAATACTAAAAGACACTGAAAAAGGGATGTACTGCGTTACACAGATAAATCTCATAAGCATCACGTTGAGTGAAAGAAGCCAGACACAGAAGAATCCATTCTGTAGAATTGCATTTATAAAAGTTTAGGGGCTGGCCCAGTGGTGTAGTGGTTAAGTTCACGTGCTCTGCCTTGGCGGCCCAGGATTCACGGGTTCAGATTCTGGGCGTGAACCTACACACTGCTCATCAAGCCATGCTATGGCAGCATCCCATATACAAAGTAGAAGAAGATTGGCACAGATGTTATCTCAGGGCCAATCTTTCTCACTAAAAAACCCCAAAAGTTCAAAAGCAGGCTAAACTAATTCATGGTGAAAAATCCATAAGGTGTTTTTTTTTTTCATATGGTGAAAATCCTTTGGGCATAGGGTAGCATTGAGATGGAGTTGTCTGGGTACCGGTAAAGCTCCATTTCTTAGTCTGGACATGGTTACACAAGTGTGCTGCCTTTTATAATAATTCTCCAAACTGTATAGTTACAATTTGTGCAATTTTCTGAATGTATATGAATTTTTTAAATGTGGCCTCGGGTTCCTGGCTCGAGTAACACAGTGGGTCATGATGCCCTGTGCCAGGTTCAGTGTATCTAGAAAGAAAAGGAGTCAAATTCCACAGTAGCCTAGGTTCTTATTGCACCTGTGGCTTCTAGCTTCCCTTGGTGGCTGTCAAGTGTCACAGCACAGGCATGTCATAACCCCATGGCCATGGAAATCACCCGTTCCTTGAAATCTCCCTTCAGAGCTATGCCCTCCTATTTTCTTACACCCCTAGAAACTGTGTGATACCTCCATTAGGGGCAGTCTTCTCCAAGAAAAGAAACCTATCTTTAGGGGCCCCCAAACTTTCCTTGGCTCCACATTGCCCTTTGATGGTGGGGGAGGTCCTAACATTAGCAGGCATAATCAGGTATACTAGAGTTATTGTTGTAAGGATAACAAAAATATCTTCTAATAGACCACTGGGGAGCCAGGGGACTGTGTACAATTACATGGCGGTGGTCATGGGGAACAGACACACTTCAGGAAGTTCTCATACTTTCCATGCCAGAGTCTCTCTTCTGCTGCTGTTACATGTGCCTTCACTGGAGTCAAGCTACTCCTATAGCAGAGGAGTAGAGGATAGAGACTCGGGAGGAATCTTGAAGGGAAGCCACAAGAAAAGGATAAATGGGAGCCCCTGAAGACAAAGCTGATGTCCACCCTTCCAGCTCCCATGGGGAAAGACAGACTGAGACAGAGATGGAACCCCAAAACCTGTCACACCCTGCATTCCACCCCAGCATTGGTTAGAGACAAAGGGGCAAAATTCCTTTAAGACCAGATTGAGCTGTCTAGGAAGTCCTGCTGCCCTCAAGTGAAAAGTGTTAACAAAGCATGCCCCTGTCTCCCAACCTCTAGCCTTCTGGAGCTTGCTCAGGCTTCCTTTGCCTCACCATGGTCCTGAGCTTCCTGGCAATAGGCTGAGTACTCCAGTCACTTGGCTAAGCTTAGCATCCTTTCCCTGCTCCCTGCCAAGTCCCGTCATTCAGGTGGCCAAGCCCTGCTTGTGTTCTTGCCAGGACTTCTTTCTTGATACCTGCTCTGGCCTCAGAGGATTATGAAACTCTCTTCAAGCTCTAGAGCACCATCGAGCTGCCACCTGCCTCTTAGGCGAGAGAGACTTTCACAGTTCCTTTCTGACACCCTCCTCCCCTGGTGGCCCAGGCCAAGAGAACTGTTTATAGAGGAGATGGCTGTAAACCAGACAACCCAGATAAATCATGAAATTCTGCACCCACACTTAGGTAACCCTATTCTCAAGACTCAAAAGAGCAATTTGCTGTTGTAGAAGTGGATTCGTGGGCAAGCCGGTAAGTGAAACGGGATCAAGATGGAGTCACAAGATGGGTTTACTTTCAAGGAATTGAATGAACCGTGATGCCCACAGACACCACCCAACCAGAACACTGCTGCCTCGGGAAGCAGAATCCTTAGAAGTGAGAGCATTTTCTTCTCTGCTGCACACTGAGCATTGAAGTTAGTTCTAGGCTTTTCCATCCCTTCCCTCAAAGTCCTAATGCCATTTTTGGCTGCTGAAATCCCCCTCATTGGAAACTTAAGTCTTCACTCAATCCCAGCCTCAGTTTACCCACATGCTTCCTTCTCTCCAACTACTTTATATTGGTACTAAAGTTATAATGAATAAGTCTTTGACTTCATATTTCATCAGATATAAGATGCTCATTGACAGATGCACCATTATTTTTTACGCTCCTGAGAAGGGTTCCAAATAAAATACAACCTACCATCCACTGTGAAATGCATCCTGACTCAGAGATGTGGAAAATTTGAAGAGAAAATATGCTTCTTAAATCAATTGATTACAATGCTATTACCTGGGCAGAAGTCAGAATTGGAAATCATGAGCCATTTGATTTCAGGAAATAATGTATAAGAATTAACAAGCTCTCAATGCCAATATATGAAAGCTCTGAGGAGTTTCAATGACTGAGTTTCCTCATTTCCAACACCATTATATGTCTTAGATCTTAGTTTAGAAGCATGTTACGGATAATTATATAAATCTGGCAAAATATTAGCATAAACAGTTTTGAAAAGCTGCCAAATAATTAAAACATCATGAATTTAATGCGTTTAATATGCGTTTATATTTAAAGTACCTTGCAGACAATAGAAATGAATAGAAGATAATTTTACAACCCAAAATAAAACTCCTCAAACCTTCAACATCTTTGCAATAGTTGAACCCATAAATGTTTCACCTTTGTGTATTTGTGAACAGATTTTTGAGTTTTGTGGAGCTGATGCTGAGAAATTGGAAGCAAAGATTCAAGAACTAATGTAAGCTGATCTCCAAAATACACTTGCAACCTTTTAAACGGCTCACAGCAAATGTGTTTGTGTTTTTATTTCCAGCAAATACTGTGATGTTCTATTGGTCTCTCTCCTAATGCTTTACAGGTTGAATTCCCTATTGCAACCTCACTGCAAATTGCTTAAAACTCTTGCACTATCAGAGATTGTGTCATTTCCATTCTCTAACTTAGCCTTTTCACTTACTCTGAGCACACTCTTTAGGCAATGCTTTTATGACTTTCACAACAGAGGCTCTGCAAAGCTAAGTAATCCCAGGTCATAGAGAAGGTTTTCCAGAGATTGCCAAAGATGGAATTCTTCACAGTGATCAAGAAACAAATAAATGCTTTATTGAACCTAGTGCATTCCAAATATATAGAGGCCTTTTCCCCACTGAGCCATTTTTGTGGTACAAAATTCTTCTCTGATCTATCACCTTTGTTAGAACTGTATCAATTCTCTCTCCCCCATTGTATTTCTAAAATTCTTCTATAAATTTTTAAAAGTCCCACAAAAACAAAAGCCAGAGAGTCATTTTACTACCGATAATGTTTTGTGGGTTTTTTAAACTGAGATGGCTCATACATTTAGAGCTCAAAGAAAATAGCTTCTTCTCCTACTAACTGTCCCCACCAAGGGGCTGCCATCAGAAGAACGCTGGGCATCTAAAGTCATAGTAGAGCCAGCTTTCGCTAGCCATTGATGACTGAGATGTTGACAAAGCACAGGACCCATGTGCTTGGTTAGAATTCTTTGGAATATCGAGTAGAGGTAACCAACACACGCTAGCTTAAGCTAAAAGCAACATCTTTTCATCATTCAGCAAAGATTTATTGAGCACCTACTCTGTGCCAAGCACTGGTATGGGCACTCAGAATAAAACGTGATTCAGAGAATCCCAAGGCGGAGATATAGCCAGCTTTCACAAGACGTTAGAAACAAGGAGAGAAGGGATGTGGGGAACCCAGGATATTTCTGAGGATTTCTGTCCTCTGCTTTTCTCCTTTCATCTGAATCATCCTCTCTGTTGCTATAGAGAAGTGTTCTTTATTTCCCAGCCCCCATGCTAGAAAGTAGCCCCTGCCAGTGAGTCCTAAGCATCCATTCTCTCCTCCATTCAAGAGACCAGCCAGATTATTCCTTCGGGAAAGACTTAGCCAGGGAGCAGGATCACAGTGTGAAAACAATATTGCTCCTATTACAAGGGTGGGGATGGGGGTGATGGAATCCCAGAAAAGCAAGAGGCTGGAAAGACATAATATTGTGTCCCTACAAAAGTAAATTTAAAATTTCAACAATTGAAATCAAAAATTGTTGGATGAGGGGCTGGCCCCGTGGCCGAGTGGTTAAGTTCACGTGCTCTGCTGCCTGCGGCCCAGTGTTTCGTTGGTTCGAATCCTGGACGTGGACATGGTACTGCTCATCAAACCACGCTGAGGCGGCATCCCACATGCCACAACTAGAAGGACCCGCAATGAAGAATATACAACTATGTACTGGGGGGCTTTGGGGAGAAAAAGGAAAAAATAAAATCTTTAAAAAAAAAAATTGTTGGATGAGAATATATATGTACCGCTATGCTTACATATATAAGTACTTATTATGTGCTAGGCAATATGCTAAGCTCTTTACATTTACACCTCGTTTAACCTTTGCAACAATCCTGTAAGTAGCTGTGTACTGATAAATGTTTAACAACTTGGTCTCTGGGGAAAAAAAATCCTCGTTTGTAATGATTGCCAATTTCTATGGTGTAAATACTTGGTAGATTTCAAGCTACCAATATGACATCACTAAAGGTAGAGCTGGGAAAAGATGTGCATAATAGGCTCTTGGGAGCTGGTTAAGATTTAGCTCCAGCCCACCGCTACCTATAAATGAGGTATGACTTTTATCCCCATTTTCTTCCAGAGAAGAAACAGACACAGTGTAGTTAAATGACTCTCCTGGGTTTGCCCAGAAGAATCCATATTAGACCGCAGGCTGGCTGATGCAAAAGCTGGACCAAGGATTTACAAAAAGTGGTATAGTTTGGTATATAATAGTGCCATGCTTATCTTAAATTCTACCAGTCACTCTCACTGCTTAACAAAATACAGTGTCAAAAAGTTTCAGATCATTGTGTCTGGTGCTCTTATTTGGCATAAGAGCCATTTAGAGAGGTTTAGAGTAACATATCTCAATTTGCACTTCCAAGACTCTAAACCATAATTACAATTTTACCCAATTCTTTGCACCATACACTATCGGTATCATCTCATACACTCACAGCATCCCTGAAAGGTTCTTAACATTGCCAATTTACAGGCAAGGAAATAGACTCAGAGGTTGACTTCTCTAAGACCACAAAGGAGGTAGGGGATCCAGGATTCATTTCCAGGTTGAATCGATCTCCAGGATCCACAGTGAAATGCTAGTTAAAGTTCTTTGGGGCCTTCTTTCAACCTCCGCACGGACTTTTGAAGTTCTGCAGTCAAAATTCCTTGGCCCTTTAAGCCAGCAGTCTGCTTTACAGCCCAATATTCACTGAAGCAGGCTCACAGTCCTTCCTGAGTTTCTCCTGTGTGCACTGGTCCAACTTAGCATGTCTGTTCCCAGCCTCCTGGTTCCCAAGCACAGTTTTCTCATCTCTCAAAGTCTGCACTAAGGAGAAAATGCTGGGCCAGCCCCAGTGGCCTAGTGGTTAAGTTCAGCATGTTCTGCTCCAGCAGCCTAGGTTCGGTTCTTGGGCTCAGACCTACACCACTCCTCTGTCAGAGGCCATGCTGTGGTAGCAGCTCACATACAAAAAGAGGAAGATTGGCAACAGATGTTAGCTCAGAGCCAATCTTCCTCAGCAAAAAAGAAAAAAAAGAGAGAAAATGCAAAAACAAAATGCATCCAGATTCACTGCATCATTTCCTCCCAATGAAGATAAGAAGGTTATTTAACCATAACAGAATCTTTTATCCAGCTCTTTTATCTGCAAAGAACACACCTTTAACATTGTAAGAAAGTTCTGGCATATTGTCCACATTTACTCACCTAGAACCACAAATTTCAGTCTAAGTTTAAAATCCTCCCTCCCCCTCATTTTCTATGGGGCACACTCAAAGCTAGTCTTGGTAAAATTATGTGGTGGGTCAAGACCAAGTTGAGACCATCCCCACTTTCAGTTCCAATACCTTCTCATCCATCTTTTCTTCCGCCTGCTACCCCTTCCCAAATATCACCACCCAGCACACATTTTATATTTTATTTCCCCAGAGCCTCTCTTGCTCTCAACTGATTCTCCAATCATTCATTCACTCATCCATTCAACAGTCATTAACTGGGGATGCTTTTATGCTAGCACTCGGCTCATCCTAGGGAGGCACAGAATACAAGTACCACTTCAGCAGTGGAAACGGTCATGTACAAACCAAGCTAAAGGAATATCAGCGAGAGATGCTCTAATCAACATATATGCAAAGAACAAGTGAGGTAGGTGAGAGAGTGATGGATTCTCCCGGAGGCTGGGCAGAGGATGGGGTTGAGTTCCAGTGGCTTCTGAGAAAAGATGACAGTTAGACTGGGCTTAAAGGATAAAGAGGATTCTGTTAGGCACACAAGGGAAGGAAAGGCTGATAAAACAACACAGGCAAAAGCACAATGAAATGAAAATGGGTAGCATAAAAGCAGAGTCTGCAGTGGCTGGAATTTGGGGAAAATGGAAAGAAGCAATGCATCTCATTAAGCCCCCCCAAAGTCTTGAAGTGTTCCCCTTTCAGAGGTATTTGTTTTCACAGGAGCAGAGGTAGCATTCAGTGTTAAAAAGGATGCTTGACTGGGGGTCCAGAGGTCTGAGTTCTAATTCAAAGTCTATCAGCAGCTATGTTGTTTGAGGCATGTCAATCTCTGATCCTTCAACTCCTAGATGAAGAGGCTGGAGTAAGTGCTCTAAGAAGCCCAATGATAAATACATCTCCAGTGTGGACTAACGTGTGTGTGCTATTTCAGAGGAGTGACATTGAGTTCAGAGGGCTCTCTGTGCTGCTTCCCACAGCTTGGGGTGGTCCCTATTGGGCCCCACACTTCAAAGGAAGACAGCGCTCACGAGGTCTATGGTAGACCCTAGCATGTGGATTGTGAGAAAGCTCTGCCGGGCATACAGACCCTGCTCGTGAGTGAGAAGCTCTGTTGTGTGGACTAGCTACCTAGCTGCTGTCCTCAGACCATACTCAGCCCACCTAACCTGAAGGACGACCTGCCTGACATTCTCAAGGGAAAAAATGTTTTGCCTAGGGCACATGCAGGGGTAGGCTAAGTTCATTTATGTATAATTAATGATACAATTATGAACTATAATCCCACAGGGATCATATCATGTCTAATGCTCATAAACCTAAAATGTCACTGCTTTATCAATAATAGGATGCATACAGCCCACCCAACTGATCCTAGTGCACACTATCAAAAAATATCTCACAAGCTTCCCCTCAATCATCTCTGAGGGGCTAAAGCCTTCCTTCCTTCTGCCTCCCCTCCCATGTCTGTTGAGAGGAGGCACTGAGCTCCACACAGCCTATGGCACGGCCAGGTTCATCAGCTCCATATTCAATAAGGCATCAAATCTAGTCAAAATGTGGCCCGCCCACATCTGTTAAGCCATTCAGGGACTGTATTTCATTGAATCTGAGACCGTCTATTTTAAGAGGCACCATCATTTTATATACTTTTAGGGAGGAAAAAATCTCAGTCATTTAAGCTACGATAACACGCCTTAACAAAAGAACTCAATGATGAACAAGTCAGCCACATCAAAGTCTCGATTCTTTGAAATTTCCTTCATCTCTTCCAGGGGATTTATAGGAATTTCTTCTACCTTCAGGTACACTGCCATGGCAGGTGATGAAATGTATCATTTGCATGTCAGTTGGCAAAATGTAATACAACTTCATTTGCCTATGGATATCTTCTTTCTTAGGTCCTGTAATGCGCTTGGTTGTTGAATTCCAAGAAAATATTTACTGTCTTTCCTCCAACAGTGACTAGTTTTTTCACTAATATCAAATGTGTATCCTCCTGCTCTGTGTTCAGGACTTTCTGCATCCACAGTAACTTTTCATTCCAATGCTGACAGCATATTATTTCAAAAGACATTTTAAACAACAATTAAGCTCAACCTGTAAGGGATGAGCAATGCTCCCAAATTGATTCTAGGGACCACACATGA